AAAAAAATCATACAGAAGTTGTTGATGTCCTACTAAAGCATGGGGCTAATGTATTTGAGCCTAGTAAGAGGGATAATGGCTTACCTTCACTATTGGTTGCTGCTAAAAATGGTTTTGTAAACATTTTAAAGCTGATACTCAGAAGAGGTTCATTGCAAGCAGTTATTGATTGCACTGATAATGATGGAGTAAGAAATAGTATTAATTGATCATTATTTTTTACTATTATTTATAGCGTACTGTACTTTATATTGCCTGTGAAGAGGGGCATGCACGAGTAGTTGAATTACTACTGGAGTACGGCATTACTAACATTGATAAAAAATGTGATAAGAATGGCTTTAATCCTCTTGATATTGCTGTTGAGAAAGGACATAAGTGAGACACTGAGAATAGTACAATTTTTTTTGCGAAAATATTTCACAGAAATCACCCTTCAACCTATTTGTGAGGGGAAATTTTGCATGGCATTTTTACGACCTGGGGGCGAAGCCCCCAGGTCGTTCCTATAATTGATTTCACCCACGTGCGATATATATATATTTGTATGTCAACACTTACATTTCTTCTATACATGTTGTATTGGAGAAATAACAAGCCTTAGCAACCACCCGCCCACGCTACGTAAGTGGGTGTGGTCACGGCAAACAAGATGGCGGCTTGCACATGGGACAAAGTTATGAGCTTTCTAACAGCGAAAGAACATAGAGATACTGTCTAAAGACTTCTCTAGAAGCATTAGAAGGTAGATAGAACCTTTATAAGTCTTAATAATAACCCAGTTGTACTTGCAAGGTGGTGAAAACAATTATAGGAATATTTTTACACTAATACGCTTGTTTCACTGACCATTATTAGTATAATTTTCATAAATAAAATTTTTGTAAATATATAAGTCTGGAAATTAGCAAAATTAAAACCTTGCATGGGATATACCCCCCCCCCCCATATGATATCATTGATTATTATTTCCAATAACGCAACAGTTAATTGGCTATTTTTATGTTAAATTTATAAAAATAAAAACAGCAAACTGTTATGCATTATTAGTTTAGTAAGAGTTTTTTTAATACTAACAAAAAAACTTGCTTTGTACATGTAAGTGTCCTTATTATTAATTTATTTTATTATTATAATTATTATTTTTTTAATTTAGAGATGCTGCAATGGCTTTAGTGAATAGTGTGAAGTGGAAGGATGCATTACGTAATGTTACTGTTGAGTCTTATATTAAAAAATGTTGCCCATGCAACAGTAAAAGAGAGCCTGTTGACAGTGTTGAGTTTGAGCTCAGTGAAATTGAAACCTCTAGCAAAAAAGATGACAAATTTCTTACACAATTTACAACTCCAATGAGAAAGATAATTAAGAGAATGCCAGGTTAATACATACACTGGTGCATGTATAAGTGTTTTATACATTTTTATAGATGTAGCTAAAGTTGTTTTTGATCGCTGCTATAAGACAGAAGGATCACCAACTGATTGTGACTATAAGATTACTTTTAATTTTGAGTTTCTTGAAGATTTTGATTTGAAGCATGCAACAGAACAAAAATCAAGGAGAAATAGGTATAGTCTTCACCAAATTAACCTCTTAGCTGTACAGTTAAGGTTGTTAGTACATTGTATATAAGACTGCATTTAGCATATAAAGAATGAAAATGATACCTCGAATATTAAGTGTTACAGTTTTAAGAGTTGTAAGAGTCACATAGATCCACCACAAAGTAGCATGAGTAATTTGTTTTCTGTGCATGCCTGCTTTTTTATAATTTTCTAGTGAAGATCAAACTAATCAAGTTCAAGGAAATAAACATAGCATGGAAAGGACTCCACAATTAGCTTACTCTAGTCAGAATCATTGCCTGAATATTCTTGTAAGTTATGATTCTTATTAAGATACATGTACTATTTGGATGATGTTCTTTATGGAGCCATGTATTAATTGTTATATATCTACATACAATGTAAGTAGCTCTAAGTAATTCCCTGATAAAATTCCCTAGTCCAGTCAGTAATGAGATGCAATGTAAACAATTCTTTGCTGAAATCATAATTTATGAATTGAAAATTTTGCAGATTTTGTGAAATATAATTTCCTTGGAAAAACCTATACAGTATTTACAATAATTATAATGAACCAAGTAGCTACATGTATACAAAATCTGTAGTGCATGTGCAGATTTTTTAGAAACAAAGTTATTAATGTTTGCACAAGCTACTTTAATATGTACTGAAAGGAGACCTATCGATTTGTATTATCATACCCGGTAAAGTGAATAGTATGAAAAACAAGGAAGTAATGCTGTAAAAATTATGATCGGCACAACATAGTCCTTATATACACTTAACATATAAACACATTCATAAGTATGTATATTTATTTATTTAGTATAATGGTATACTTATTTATAGGCTAATTCACCAAGTGCTCACTTATTGCAGCATCCACTTGCTATGACACTTCTAGATTTAAAATGGATTAAATATGGGCAAATACTTTATTATAGTAATTTGATATTTTATTTTCTGTTTTTGATTCTATTGACGTCATTTGCTCTTACTGTTCCTTCACCAAATTCTATCTTATGTAAGTTATTAAGGCAAAGCCAACTAGTGAAATAGTTAATGTCTGTCTGTCTGTCAGAGTATAGTATCGTATAGTGGATATATTTTGT